AGCGCATCAAGAAGCTTCCCAAGAACTATGAAGCTTCTCGAGCAACTACCCAAGAGCTAGGAAGCTTCTCAAGTAACTTCCTAGAATCTACTAGAATATTCTAAGAATCTTCTAGAGCCTTCTAAGGGAATCTTTAGAGAATCTTCAAAGAATCTTTAGGGAATCTTTGAAGAATATTCTAAGAGAATATTCAAGGAATCTTCTGGAAGTTTTTAGAGACTTCTTTCTAGAAGGTTCTAGAAACTTGTCTCTAGAAAGGTCTAAGGACTATGTCCCTAACACTTGTGGATTATGAATCCAATATCAAATTCATTTATATAAAAATATTTGTTTATTTTAGTCTATCAAAGAAATGAATTGAAAGAAGATGCATAAATTTAGAAAATCTATGTTAGAAGAAAAGTGAAAAAATAATAATAAAGTAGTATGTATATTAAAAGGAATCTGAAATGGCTATTGCTAAAAGATAAGGAAACTAGAAACTATTGAATCTAGATTAGAAGCATAAAAGGAGTTGACAAGAATGAAGAAGACTTCATTCTTACGTCTATATATACTATCTAATTAGAAGCTACATGGCGATGTTCTATAGGATCTCTAAAATATGTTGACTTTGCAAGACACATGCCTTAACTTACAAGGTAAGTTTTCTATGTGTGGACCACATAACTAGCTTATTCTTCAAGCTACCAATATGTGTGGCACATGGCCAACTTGTTGACTACATTTCTAATCTAAAAAGTCAATTATAGATACCTATAAAGTTAAAGCAACATCTATGAAGCTTTTAAAAAGATTTTATAAAAGCTATTATGGAATTAACCTATTTTTATCTATTTTTATTTAATCATATAGGTAATTATTTATTTACATGTATATATCCATGACAAAGTATTATTTGAGAATATCATAAGACCTTTATCATCAATTGTCAAATATTCATATTTTTTGATAAATTCTAAATGAGATTTAATATTTTTACTTAAAAAATGTGATTTCTTTCTTTTATATGTAATTGCAAACTTACTCTATGAAGTACACAATATACAATAACTTCACTAATTGATACTCCAAAATATTCTTTTACATGTTTAATAGCTTTTTTTGCAATAGATATATATTTTTTTAATTATATTACTTATACAAGATTATTATTGTATAATAATATAACCATTAGGTAAAACAAGAAAGAAAATATTTTATTATAGAAGAGCCTAATTAAAAAGATATAGTAAAAAAAAAAAAAATAAAAGATAGACAAGTAACAAAATCTTATATTATTGGAACTTCTTTTTATGAAAATAGATTCTTCTTATTTTGTCTGGCCATAAATTTGGCAAAAAAAGATAGATTGATAAAATTAAAGGATATAAGCATATATAAGAAGGAGTTAAGAGTTGATTTTAGTAAAAATTACCACAAGAAAATAAGAATTGATACTCAGAGAAGACTAGTTACCAATTAAGTTTGAAATCAGATCCCAAGGCACAAAACCAAGCACCTAAGTTGTTTTTGTGGTTCTTTTATCAATCAAAAAATATAATTTTAGTTTAAATTTAAAAAGAGACTTTTAAAATTTAGTTTGATGTCATTTGGATTAATATTGAGGTCTTGGAAGATTTTCAAAGTTAGTAATAAACTTGGTGGATTTAGATTTTAAAAAATAAAAATAAGTTTACAAATTTGAGGATTTTGTGAAATTTTTAGTATATTTATAAATAAAAATTTGAAAAACTATTTTTGTGCTTGTTATAAATGTATGTAAAAAATTTGAAATCAATTGAATAATTAGATTGAAGAATACAAGAATTTTATAGATTATGATCTTGAAAATTGTGGTTTGGAAGACTAGTGAAGATTTCTAAGATATTTGTCAATCTAACAATTGGATTAAAATACAATTTTGCTTAAAATTAGTTAGTTTGACATTCAAAAATTGTGTAAAGTTTGGAATCAATTGAATGGTTAAATTAAGAGATCATGGATTAAGAAATATCAACATCAAGGTTGGAGAAAGAGATTGGTCAATATTTAAATAGAATTTAGGGATTAATATTTATTTGGTATATGAAATCTTCTTTAAATATTTTGTGCTTCTTACTAACTTAGTTTTTACAAAGTTTGTAAATTTTGAATCAAAATCAATGATTCAACTATTTGATTAGGATTTGATTAGGATTTGGTCTAAGATTAGAATTTAGAATTTGATTAGAATTCGATTAGGATTTAGAAAGAATTTCATTATGGTTTTATTAAGATTTGATTTAAGATTTGATTAGGATTGGTTTTGGATTTCATTAGGATTTTTTGAGGATTATATTAGAATTTGATTAGAATTCAATTATGATTTTTATTTTAAATATTTATTTAATATTTTTTATTATATGTATTTTATTAAGATTAATTAATAATATCTTTATATTTTATTTTTAAGTTCTTAATACTTCATTCGGATTTAATTAAAGATTGATTAGTATTATTATAATTTAATTAGAATTTTTTTAGGATTCTATTAGAGTTGTTAGGATCATTTTATTGCAAGTTCAATTTTTTCTTCTACAGCCAAGTATCTTGTGCATTTTCAAGTAGATATCACATAATATAGCATCATTCCATTTGACTTCTCAACTTATGTGGTCTACTTCCAACTAAAAGATGTGCATCTAGAAAAATGCTTCTTATAGAGTATTTGGAGACTTGACTTACCAGTATGTAAAGAATTTGCCACTTCTTTCATACTATAGCTTTTTCAATGCAAAGAGAATATATTTTGTTGCTTCTCTTAAGATAATGGTCTTATTATTTTTTCTTATGAAGTAAAACACAAGAAAAATTAGTATTTGAGTATATACATGTAATAAAATAAAAACCAAGTAATTTATAATGCATCTACTCTTTCATTGCTATGCTCAAAGAATGCATTAACATAGACCTTCAAAACTATCTTAATAAAGGTAAAATATCTAGAGCTTCAATCTATGCATATGTATGTAAAGACAAGTACCAAAATTTACACGTCAATTATATTATTGATAATTGAAAGTAACTACATTTTTTTCATGTCACTTTAACATGCAATCACTATTTGGTGACTTTCCAAAATTTCAAATTGGAAACATTGGAACAATTTTGAAGATTACTGTATGCCAATATTAAAAAATATATAATTATTGATAATTTTTTTAAAAAAAATAACTTCATGTATAAATTTTAAGTAATAAAATAGAATTTTGATAAAATTACTAAAAAATGAGTAAAAAAAAATAAAAAAAAATAAAATTTAATAGAAGCTTCAAATTCTATACTCTAAAAGCTTGCAAAACAAGTTTTTATGGCTTGTAAGTTATTTTATATTGTTATTAATTGTAAAATATTTTTTTTTAATTACTTACCAATATTTCTTGTTATTAAAAAGAGCCATTCAAAAAATAGGTTATGCATGTTTTTTTATTTAATTTATTAATATCCATTATAAATAATTAAACTGGTAGAATATTAATTTGTATTACTAATAAATAATTAAGTTTTATCCACTTCAATAAATTTTTTAATTGTCAATTTTTATTTTCATTTTGCAAACAACAAATCTTTATTTTGAAAACTAAAAATTTGGTCTTCAATACGTTTAGGCATCTAATTTTAATAGAAAGTTATCAAATTAAATCCTTGAAGATCATCAAACCTTTAGTGCACCTTCTTTTTCTAAGTCTTTGAGTCAGTTTTTATAAAGTCAATATATATATATATATATATATATATATATAACTAATTAATCTTTTCAAGAAGTATTTGATAAATAATAAGAAATATGATATATATATATATATATATATATATATATATATATATATATATTTATAATTTATAATATATATGAAATAGATTTGAATCTTTCTTAGTACTTTGAATATTTTATTTTACCAAATTGAAGATTCTTTATTAAGTAAAAATCATACAATAAAATTTCTAATTTTGACTTTAATTCTATATTATTATTTTGAAAATTTTCTTGATTAGTTATTCTTCACTTTTGTTATTTAATAGATTATTTAAGTTAGATTTTTATATTTATTTTAAATCTTTTTTACATATGATCTAATATATATCTATATATATATATATATATATATATATATATATTATAATTCTAAAATATAATTTTTTTTTTTATGAAATTAATGCATGCAAGTATATATGTAAGTATACATTTTAAATGAATTATATATAAAAATAATTATTGAGATGATTTTTATATATCTAGAATGCATGTTCTTTCATTAAAAAAAATATTATTTGATGTAAATATTTCTATTTTCTTTTCTTTTTTTTATTTAAGAAAGAATAAGGTGTTTTAGAATTTAGCAGTCAAGTAACAATATTTCGGAATATTTATTGAAACATATTTAGTTCCTATTTAATCTTATTTTGAAAATATTTTTGTATTATTTTTCCAAATTTTTTAAGATATTCTATTATTGATTTGTTTTGAAAATAATTTTATCATTTATATTTTTTGTAAAAAAATAATATTATTATAAAATATATATTTATAAAACCAAATTAAGATATTTTTAACATCATGTTTAATTTTACTATTATATATTTTAATTTCAAAAAATATTCTGTCAAATTTTTTTAGTAGGATTTTAAATTTGAACTTAAAATTATTTATCATTATAATTTTTGGTCACTTTGTTATTTTTATAATAGGTTTTTAAATTTGAACTTAAATTTTTTCTTCACCAAGTATAATTACTTGATAAGGCTTTTAAACCATAACCTTTCTAAATGGGATTTTAGGTATAACAAAACATCCCTAAATCCATGTATCTTAAGTTGTAGAAAAATTTGAAGATAGCAAAATAAAATTTGAAATCTCAAAAATGTAATGAAATGGAATCTCATTCCTCCTGTCTCTTAAATGCCTAGGATTTGTAAAAGCCAAAGAGATATATGCTCAAATGTCAACCATCAATGTAGAAGAATCTTACTCAAAGCAAGCATCAATTTCTAGTATGTGCATATTATATAAAAAAATGGTATTGTATTGGACACAAGGACATAACTAATGTTATTTCACAGACAAGAATCGTATATTTATTGTTATTTTCTTACAGTAAAATATCAACTTGGAACTGTAAAAATAGTTCGAAAGAAAGGAAATAAGAAGTAAAGCTGACAAGAAATGTTTTCAATCCGAACGAGTGCGCGACTGGAGGGCACAAACAGGCCCACCGACGCCGTGTGGAGAGGAGGCAACAGATGCAGCAATTGCAACACGCAGAGAAGAAATGTATCTACGCCAACGATGTAAATGATTCATAAAACACAGCAACAACGAAAATAGAGCAGCCCGAAACTCCCAGGATCACGAAGGGGACGGTGGTCTTGACCGCCCACGGGTTTCCGCAGAAGAGATCACCAAGCCTTATCTCGATCAGTACCACCATCGACACAATCAAAAAGATTGCTCCAAGACACGATCCTATTCCTGACGAAAAAATTCCAATGCGTAGAAAGCTGCGATTCACTTCAGCAAATTTCGAATTTTCTTTATCTCTTCCATTCTCTGCACACCAAGTGAGTTTCTCCAGGAATTTTACCGTTCACATCCGCAATTCATTCCTTCGTCTGGACAATTGAAAGAATTCAATGATGAGAACATGCTTACCGAGAACAATGTAAAGCTTGAATCCGTGCGCTACAAGAGTGGAGAAGAGGAAGCAGCTGAACGAGACAACTTCCCATAAAACGACCGCGCGGTACACATTAACTTCCACATAACACTCTAATCTGGGTGGCGCAAGAGTGGTAGCCGCTTGGTTCTGCGGAAGCGGGGGGCTGAAAGCCAATCCAAGGAACACCGCAATCGCAAAGAATCCATTCACCTGCATGATTCTCCATTGGAAGCTTAAAATAACTTTCAACTTATTTGTATTTGCATCTAATTCACGTCATTCACCAGACATGAATCAGATTGTATCAATTGTAACTTTACACTTCGAAAGGCGACGAGACCTACGGAGACAACTTCATCCAGAGTTGTGACATGCACGTGAGTAATGTCCATCTTAGGCTCTGGCATCTCATCTTCGGGCATCACCACCACCTCCTCAGCAGTAGCGGAGGCAATATCTACTAAGGCACTGCGTGACGACAACACCAGAACTTTGAGTTCACAACCTCTAGTAGTATTATTTCAGAGTTTTAGGTCTGTGTTGTGTTATCGATATATTGTGAGGAGCACTGAGTGGGGGTAAGTGCCAATTGATGGCTACATTGTGACCTTTGTTTTCGTCTTCTCCGTTTCCTGTGTTGCGAAGCTTTGGAATGTTCTAGGCATTGAGGAGTGCACATGATGGTGTTCGATGGAGCCACGTTAACACGCACCACTGCTGGAGATACCTCCCCGTACTTGGAATCCACCAGGGAAAAGTGGAACATGTAAGTTCCCATCTGCGTAAAAAGTCGCTCCAGCTGATTGCCCGATGTGTTGAAGCAGTACAACCCCTGCACATCTTTCTTCGTGGTAGCTTTGGTCTTGCCACTGTACACTACCTTCAACTCCTTTCCCGCCTTCAGCACATCCGACTCCGGTGGAGCGAAGTCGTACACCATCACCTCTAGATTCATTTCCATCGCATCCTGGACAATGCTCTGCTGATCAGTTCGGCCATTCATCGGCCCGTTTTTTTTCAGAATGATGTTCTTGGGTCTCACAACTGCAATAATCTCTTTTGGAAGCGGTTGTCCTTCTTGTATAATCGAATTATCTATTAAACCCTGCGTTGAACAATCAATCAAAGGCATAAGCTCTCAAGGAGTTTACCTCGGCAATGTAGAATAGCTCGTGTGGTTTGCAGGGTAAAAGGATGTGCATCCACCTACAAATGCCACCGAATAAAGCTCACCCCCACAATGTTGAATTTTGATGCACCTTCTGCATTGAGTAGCTCTACAGCGACTGGATCTTTGCCGAATAGGGCACAACTCCTGTCTGGCTCTCGCCTGTGCCACTCCCCGTTGTCGAGAAGGTGGAACTGCCAAAATGACACAAATTTCAAAACGTGAATTTTTTACCATTTTTTAAAATTGAACACAGTGGCATATTGAGGTGTGCATTTCTGTGCGATTCAGCTACAATATATTTGGAAAACAGCAATATTCCAGGGACATGGACTCTACCTTTTCAGTGTAGAGGATGCTAAGGGGTAAAGCTTTTGACGCCTGTGGAGGTTGTTCGACATGAACTGAGCCGTGGTTTGGTTGGTTGTTCGACTTTGACGACTTTACTGAATGTAGAGTAGAGTGTGGTGTTCTGTCAATCGATTTGTCCATTCTGTTTGAATTCTTTGGCAGACACTGAATTGTCTTCCAAGTTGAATTGAACTGCCCCTCGTTATCTGAAAGACAATCTCATCACAAGGGTTTTGAAAGAGTTTATACCCCTGAAGCATTGGGGCTGAAATCACAAAACATAGCCAAGAACGGTGTAGATGGGCCCAAAGAAGCTGAAAGACTGCAGAGTCTCGGACGCTCGCCTTTAGAGGGCCCCCTACATCATCAGAAACTGAAAATGAGAATTTACCTGCACACCTTTTTGACATGTTGGAGTATAAGATATCGCTGCGATTTCACATTCCTAGTGCTTCCAATATCGCGACGATTATGAATGCAACCTATATTTCAGATGATTATTCGACTCTATCCTAATTTAGCCCTAAACAGCGAAGCAACACTGCACCCAATTTGTCACGAAGTTCCTGCTACATAATTGCAAGATTTCTTCTACAGTTCCTCGGTCTGCCAATTACGGCATAGTTTCACAATGTTCATCTCATTAGGATTTTATGTGTCTTGTTAGCATATTGTCAAAGCAAGTCTAATTGGTGTCATAAAATTGATAGACTATTCTTTTGCAAGTATACGAAGCAGGCTTAAGATTCGCAGTCTACAGCGTAGCGAAGCCTTCAATTAGCAGTAGACATTTGATAGACCTACGACATTATCTTAAATTTGAAGACCCAAAATCTTCTCAATAATTGATCTCATTTTCCTGTATGTTAGAAAATAAGATTCATGACGGCATAGTCCTCAACTTTGACAATTAGAACTGCAGTAGAGTTTTGAAATGTTACTTATTTTGATCACTTCCGAAATTTCGAAGTGGTGCGGTTTCTGTATCTTACATGAATAGTGTAATCCGGTATTTCTAATTTCAATTTCACCACACCAAGGTAATAAATAATTTTATGATAGATTGATTCGCACTCAGAACCTGCTCTCCGTCGCGGATTACACTATTCATGTAAGTTACAGAAACCGAGACAATTCCAGAATTGAATTGAGGTTAGAAATGCCAAATGAGAATCGGTGCATTGTAGCCCCAAGATTTTTAAATGAAGAACGTTGGCTCGTCGTTTGATTGACTAATCAACATTAGAGAGCCTTGGAGACTCGTCTCGGTCATGACGATTAACGTTGACCTGTCAATGTCAACATTGACGGTGCATCCAGCAGATCATTAAATCTGTGGGTGCCAAAAGTGATGATTCGCAAGATAAAATATCATGAATGGAAAAATGTGCACCATCTTGAAGATCATTTCGATTCTCGAGTCACCCCATGAGTCATGACATGAAGTAAAAACTGGATTATAACTTGTCGAGGATGGGTCGTGCTGAAGAATATTGATGTGAATAATCTATGTCGATTTAAATAGAGAACGATAAAAATTCCTGTGCAATATTCCTATGATAGTAGTCCCGTTACAATGTAAACCAGACATCAAGGATGCACGAAATAAGAATACAAATAATTGACAGAACTTTCATTTTGTAAAAACATTGCTACGTGAGAGAAGATGTTTGCCACAAAAGTGTATACATTGGCATTTCCGAAGTTCGGGACGGTTTTGTGTTTAGGATGGGTTTCAATTACAAATAAACCAAACGAGGTTATTAATGTTGGAAGCGAAGGCCGAATATCTGGTTCTTCTTGTGGACTATACAAGACTTTGATGAATGGGATCGTAATGGAAGAGGCCGTTCGTTCAAAGCACAGCATCGAAGTTATGTGGGACAGGCTGGGAGCGGTTGGTCCTTTTGTAGTTCAGTTAACTACCATAGACCAGCTGAGCGCCAATTCCTGCTCTATTTTCCATGCTTCCTTGGAGATCTAGCAACAAGTTCTGCTCCACACATGATTCAAAATCCAAATTTCATTTCTCAGTTTAAGAACATGTGCGCTCGTGTAAAATCATTGCGCGTGCCATCGAGATTAATGATAGGACTTATGCTGACATTCAGAAAAGTCTCAAAACTAAGTGTCTCGCTTCAATCTTTAGTCTTTCACAGTACCACACCGCTTATAGTAATTACTTATGTCCAGAGGTCCTCCCATGTAGATGAACGGCACCAATAACTCCACAAATAGGTGAGGGATTGAATAGATGGATTGGATCTTCAATTGAGCAAAGGATTACATGCCGCAAATCCATCTGCAAACATCACATGCCTTCACCAGCGCAGGTGACGAAGAAGCGGAATTTGATTAAAACATTTTTCATACTTAGATGCCACAGAGGTGCAGTACAAGTGATCAGGATATAGTGTGACTAGAGTAGGGTGCCTTGGGCATCTTCAGACCTAAGGATAGAAGGAAAAATATTAGAGCGCTTGCACCATGCGAGAGCCTCAGTAAGTGGGAGAGATGGAGGAAGAATGGGACTTGCTACCCCTCGGATCGTACACAAGAAGATATTTGTGCGGCAAGGAATGGAACTCAACTGCAACTGCACAATCTAGGGGGTGCAGACACAGTTGGCCCTTGCCTAAATGGAAGGTGTAGTGGTAACAAGAAACGCATTCGGAGTGCGCCATGGACAGTGTCGGAGATGCTGACCCGGTAGAAGCAAAGAAGGAAGAATGAGAGCGATGCCAAGCATAAAGATGTCAAGGAGTGAAGCCCCGGCGACTGAAGAATGACGAATCATAGTAGTAGACACGGAGATCAACGACATGTAACGCAGTGGCAGCCAGTGCCATTACAGATGGGAAAACATGATGAAGGATTACAAATCTGTGCATGAATGGCAGCACGTTTGCGGGGGTGGTGCAAAAGATTCCTTCAAAGTCATGTCGAACAAGGATCGCAAGAATGCGAGCTCACCGCAGGAGATGTACGAAATAATAGTTTACAGTCTTCACGCCATCCAGAATGGAAAACAGGAGAAGAAAGATAGTGTGAGGTATCAAAAGAGCGAATATAAAGCTTCCGTGTCCAGTTTAATTTCTAGCACTATAACCAAGGGCAAGGTCGGGAGTAGTGAGGGGAATGACATGGGGTCTACCGACACATACTTTATGGAGGAGGAGAGAGGGGATGCAGCAAGAACAGCAGCAGAGAAGAGGGAGCTGTTGGAATATTACTCCTCGTAGCCTGTAAATCTTAGTCATAGTAATTCTTTTGAAAACAAACCGAGAATATAGATCGGCGCTCTGTAGTATGGCTGCGTTCTGAAGAGGTCCACTGTTTTGGATCTAATGAGTTAAATACATCTCCTGTTATTCTCTGTATTTTATTCTTGTATGTTTATTCTTCATGGTATGAGAGCGAGCTTGTCTCGGCTCCTTTCCCTTGTTTTTCTATGCATTCTTCATTCTATTCTTTTTAGCAACATTAGAATAGTTCTTTTTGAACAGTGCTTCAATTCTGTTGTTCCCTTCTTTGAATAGTTCAGTTACAATGACATTTTTTAGATCTATTCCGTCTCTGAAAGAGCAGATTAGGTGAGTCGGTTCCAAATCAAAATGGAAATTCTAGACTCCATATTATCAAGAGATATTATGCTTACTGGTCCCACAAATTTCAAAGTATGGCAATCTACTCTAAAAAGTATCTTTAAGAGAGAGGATCTCTGGGACATAGTCGGCGGACACATGATGTTAGGATCTTCTATCATCGTTCCATCAGCAGGATAACCCACTTTACTCCACACAACACCAAACTCGTCGAATGACGTCTTGAGCAACGTAGGTCAAGCTCCAGATGAATAAGTTGCAGAACCACCCGCTTCTCACTTCAATACGTTGGCAGCAACATCAGGCAGGATCTCAAGCTCGGACAACGGTGCCTTGAGAGACGAAAGAAGCAAAACGCCAATTCATTCAATTGTCAATCCACATGGATCTGAGAGTATACATTGAAGATGTTCTCAATCAACATACAACATGGATAATGTTAGAATCACTTTTTCATTCCAACACTATTGCCAATACAATGCTAGTTCTTCATGAATGGGAAACATTTGCATGGCCAAATAGATGGATGTTGCTATATTTATGACGAAGATCTATGACATTTAGAAAGAGCTTGATCACATATGGTACCCTCAAATTAACATGGTAATAATTCATCGAGTATTAAATTACCTACCTTTGTGATTCCAAATTCTAGTTAGATAGATTCAAGGTGAGTACATGATTTCAATGTTAAAAGAACCTAGCATCCAACTATATATCAAAGAAAACTACAACATCCTAAGAAATCAACAACCAGAGGAGGTACTTATCATATGCATCAAAAATATAGAAGACAAATAATTTTCATACCTATTAAGTAAATCGTATTAGACACCATTCTTTGTTGTGTTTCATCTAATCAAATCACCAAATTAGTACTTATTTGTCACAAATGAATTAAATAAAGATATACATTATAATATTACAATATGCTAGCCTTTCTACAAATCAATCCAAACACACCAAACTAAGAAGCATCAGTAGGTTATTCTAGACCAAATAACATCAACACACAAAGTAGAGCATTAAGCAATATTATGCAAGCTAGAGTGCACAAAAAATGTCTACAAAATCAATATGGTATGAAACTTATTGAAAATCAATTTGGTGAATATTACCTACTAGCTTTATCTTTGGAAGAACTTCTTTAAACAATACTTGATACCTTTAGCATTACAAGATAATAACTTTGGATCCTAAACTCAAGAGTTTTGGCTTGCTTCTCACAAAAATATTATTTTTTATCAACTTAGATCCACCATAATTAATATCAATGACCTTTGCCTACTGGGAATCTTATGCAATATAAAAACAAGAGATAACAAAAATTCTTCTACCATGTAGAGTAATAAAGAACATAAGAGATATAAAGTATATATCAAATATCTATAAAAACATCTTATTTTTTGGTAAAATAATTGACATAAATTATTTAATCATTTTTAATAATACAACTTGTGTAAAATTTTATAAAAGATAAATCATACAGAATAGTTATAACTTAAAAAAGAAATAGAAATAATGGCCTATATAAACTAATAGAACTTATTAAAAACTTAAAAAATAAACAAATCAATCACTATGTGATATAAGCAAATAGCACATTACAAGATTTTAGTAAAAATAGAAACTTTGTAATTTACATGTCACAACTTTGGCATTTCTAATTGGAACATGTAAACTTTCTAAGCCTTAATACCTTTCATAACAAAAAGTTAGTTTTTGGATTATCTTTGTTTAAAGTAGTTCTATAAATCTATCTTATCTACAAGCACGGAAAGCAAATAAGTGAATTCTTTCTTAAATTCTCTACCAATAGATTAAGAAGACTACTACAACTTATATATATATATCAAATTTTGTGGTATAATGCCAACACCATCCTTAAAAAATCTAAATACTTTATTTTATTTATAAATAACTACATTAGAAATTTCTAGATTTATTCCTTGAGAATAAAAGATCAAATACTCAATTATTTTAAACAATTCAGAATAATGATAGAGAAATAATACTTGCAATTCAAAATATTAATTCTTAAATTGGATAAAGATGGTAAATTTCTATAAAAATATTTTGTCAAATGTTTAAAAAAATACAACATAGTTTGGCAATTATCTACTATACAAACACTCCAAAAAAACAAGGTATCAAAATCCAAGAATTGATCCATTTTAGACAAAGTATAAACTATGCTTATTAAAAGGTACATATCAAAATTCTTATGGATGAAGGTGACTCACATTATAGTGCAACTAATAAACTATACATCTATTAGAGCTAACAATAAAATGACTCCACATGAGCATTTTTGGAAAAAAAATCCAACCTCATTCAAATCAAAGTATTTGGTTGTATCACCTTTATTCATTTAGATAAGATCAATTATGACAAGCTTAGCCCTAGATCTATATTAGAAATAAAATTGGGACTTGGAAATGACTCTAAAAGCTATAGACTATAAATTTTCTTGCTTCAAAAAATAAAAATTATCCAAAATGTTGATTTTGACAAAACAAGATTTCTTATTACATCGAAGTAGGAGTAAATATTTTCCTTAGATTCTTTTTTTCTTTTTTTTGCAATTACCAATTTTTCTTTTCATAGAAGATCCATATAAAGATAAAGATAGAAAAGACTAGACTTAATTACCAAAATTGGTTCTTTTAATAACAACAAATAAACCAATTACAATATAATAGCATCAAAATTGATCTTCAACACTTGCAATAGAATCTTCAATGGATCTTATATAAAAAAAATTACCTTCAACAAGAGATAAATTACACTTTATATGTGAAAATTTATTGGCCAATATATTAATATAAGCTTTTTTCAATACTATTTTGCATTCATTAATTTGGAAGAGTAGCCCTTATCAAATGCTTACAATAATGTCGAATTCTTTTATGATGTTATTAAAAAAAATGATCCATTCATGTTGTCTTAGTTAGAGGGCCATATTTATACTAATTACAAAGATCACATAGTATTGAGCTTAAAAAAATTAAAATAAATAAATAAATACAAGAAAAATTAATATAGTTTAAGGACTATTTTATAAGTCTATGTGATTTT